AGAGAGAGAGAGAGAGAGAGAGAGAGAGAGAGAGAGAGAGAGAGAGAATTTGAGAGTGACCATCTTTTCTTAACTTTTGATTACCATTGTACCTTAGTCTTTGGGAAAGACCCACCAGGGCTGAGAGCGGCCCCTTCAAAGTCAGAGATGTGAATTTCTGGGCTTAGAGAAAATAATAATTGACGGCCCAGTAAGATTGCTTATCAGGTAGAGGCACTTGATGCCAAGCTCATGACCTGAGTTTGATCCCTGGTTTCCACATGGTGGAAGGAAAAAAATAAAATTCTGAAAGTTAACTCCCACATGCTTACCATTGTATGCTCACATTTGTACACACACACACACACACACACACACACACACACACACACACGCGCGCGCGCGCACAAATGTAATACAGAATAATAGGCAAAGGGCTATGATTATTTTAATATTTCAATTAATTGGGAGGAAAATGAAAATTAGGGGTGGGGTCCTTTGCACATATCAGTAGCTGATGCAGTAAGAAGGGCAGAACCAATTGCAGAGCTCAGTGGGTAACATTTGAGTTGTGTTCAAGGTGTGACAATATCCTTAATCAAATAAGAATTCTTACGTGTGTTGTAGACGACGTAAAGTGCTCACCATTTGTAACCACTGTGACTCAGTTTTCATGTCATTGCCGCACATAAAAGTGCTTAGCACATCTCACAGAAAGGGCGGCTGAACCCTATTTCTAAAAGTGAGCCATCGGACTTTGTGGAAAGGAGACTACCTCGTCTAGAAATCAGGGTGCCTGACACGTTTTATCTCATAGTGACTCCACATGATGTGAGCCTGGCATGACTGTCACCACATTATAGGCAAAGAGAGAGAATGACAATGACATTTGGTAACTTATCTGGGGTCACACAACTGGGAGCCAGACTCTGAGCTCAGATGTGAATTCAGGACTCTTTGACTTTGCTCAGCTCTTCCCAGTCTTTCAGGATGGATGAGGTGGGTTCACCCAATGATCTGGTGTAGTCGGGAAAGCATCTTTTTCAGTAGTTGCCTTCTTCCTTCCTGAGGTAGCCTGTATCACTTCACCTCCCTTTCAGGTTGTACATCCATCGTAATGTTGCTTCCCGTGGTGGGATCATTAGTTCTCATCACCTTCAGCTTCCAGTGCCCGAGCCACTGGCTGGTACGGGTGATGAGGTAGGCTGTATCTCTGGGGTTATTTGAGGAGTTTCTTACTCCTTGAGCCCCATAGGGCAGTGCCAGATCAGAGAGCTATCGGGACTGAGGTATGCCTGGTTTCCCTCCTGGCCCTGGCCAACAGCTTTGCAGAACAGACCATCACCCCACAGTCCTCTTGAGATCAGGAGGTTTTTGTCCACAGAAACTTGGGAACCTGTGCATATTCCTTCAGGAAAATTTCCCTCTAGCTTGGGTTTAGCTTCTTTATTGAAACTTCGTTTAAAATGTGCTCCCTGGCCTTGATGTTCTGTGCTGTGTCAGGCAGTTTCTCATTCCTGATCACATTACAGAGTAGGTAGTACTATTTTCTTCTTGTCTGTGAGGACATTGTGTCTAGACAGGCTAAGGAGTCTGTCTCAGGACCCGAGAAACAAAACATTCCGAGCCACATTTAGGTAACTTTGGGGTTAAATATTGAATGGATAGAATAGTGTGTTGTATATAGTTTTAATTGCTACCTCCTGTAGTGGTGGCTGTAGGCCCTAGTTTCCCCCTGAGACCTCACATGGTTGTTGGGTTCTTCCTCCAAAGCATGGTAAAAAAGCCCTCTCATTTTTCTTGCGTCTGTCTTCTCCTCCTGGGACCCAGAAGTCCCTCCTGTACCTTCTGCCCAGTAATTGTTCCCCCCAACACCCCCCTCCCCGGCTTTCTTTACTGACAAATCAAGAACCAATCAGGGAACAGGACTTTAACATCAGACCCACCCCCTTCAACAGTGCAAGTCACATTAGGTATTTAGAACTTCCAAGGACTTAGTGTTGCCAGTTAGAGGCTTCCATTCCCACTGGAAGGGATAGAGGAGACAGAACATGGTCATCATTAGTCAGTGGTCAGAGTGAGCCGAAGTGACACACGGACAAATGGACACCAGTTGGCAAAACTGCGTTTCACACATCCCAGTTGCTATGAGGGAGTGACAGCTTCTCCATGACACTCTCTATCTTTCAGACTCTCTGTGAGCTCCTCTCCTCGGCAGGCTCTAACCTAGAGCCACACTGCCAAGGGTTACAGAGACTTGAATGTCTGCACTGCTTGTGTCACAGTGAGAAGAAAGCCACTGAGGCCCAAGGAATGCACAGTGGGGGCCTAGTCCATGGCAGGGCAGTGGGGAGAGTAAGCAAGGGAAGACAGCTTACATGCTGATTAGGGGGCTCAGCATGTGTCCTCGTCCTCTACCAAACCCTCCATCTTTCATGACCTTAGAGATAAAGATGCTCCTCCACCACATTTCTCTGTATGGATGTGGTCTGCCTCTTCTTTGTTCTTTGCTTTTAAAAAAATATCAATGGCAACTAAGAGACAAGGATGACAGGCAACCCAGGTAACATATTGGATAATCCTCAGCTGCCCTTTCCCCAGCTGGTACAGAGCCTCAGTCCTGTGTCAATAATCTGCATAGACCAGTTCCTGGGGACCTTCACCAAGGCCATGGAAAGAGAGTCTACCCACCTTGCACAAATTTGAGGATGTGACATAGGCATGGCTGCTGTGTCCAGGCTGCCTCTGAACCTCCCACAACTTCTGTTTTTTCATCAATACATTTTATTGGGTTAGCGGATTTTGTTTTATAAATAAACTGATTGAAAATAACATTTCCTGTATACCCTGCCATACCCTGATCCTTTACTTTTTTATTCCCAACATCTTGCAGTAATATGAACATTTGTAAAAATCAATGAACCGATATCACTACAGTCTAGTGTTACAGTCCAGAATTCACATACAGATTTTGGCTAATGTATGTACCCACCATTGCAAAACCATAGAGACTCAATCCACTGCTCTAAAAATGCTGGTTTGACTTTTGCATCTCCCTCCTTTCTCTAAGGTCTTTGTCAACCAACTTTGGGACAGCTTTTCTGTCCCTGTAGTTCAGCCTTTTCCAGAATACCACAGGTCCTGATGGTCCACTGGGCTACTAGGCAAGTGAGAATGAAGACATTTTTTTCTGAGCTCTCCTGCTGCTGGGAGTGTGAGTCTAAGTGTTCAGTGTTCCTCAACATGGTCTCCTGGCTGAGTACAGTCATGTCTAGCTGTTTATAATTTTCCTAAGTGTCATTTGAATGGATGTGAGCACCTGCATTTGACAACTGGGAAGGCTGAAGTCTCAGGTGTATTATGTTGGAATTTATGTGCTTGATAGCACCAAGCTGTTCAAGCTGAGAGAAGGGCAGCATACCTTCTCCCAGAACTCTCACCATCAAATGTTACCAGTGACAGATTTGTTGATGGTCATTAGGCACAGTGATGATTGAGCAATGCAGGATGGGCTTGGGGTATTTGAGCTTGTTATAGTCAAGCAGAGGATGGTGCTGATATATGGTTCTCCATACAGAACTGACAAGATCTTTGTGTTTCTATGCCTCCACATCCCAAAGAGTGTTGGGAATCCCTGAGGGATTGACTTGTTCGTCTTTTAGTTTCTTCTAGTGATTGTGAAATTTCTCATTGTTGTAACTCAAGTATTTTACAAAAGATCCTAGAAACAAAACCATAATTCTAATTGAATTGAATGTATTTGGAGGCATCAGAAAGCAAGTTAGATTTTAATCTGTTTCTGACCCCCATGTATGCCTTTACTTAAAGGAGAGCTCTGCTTGGTCAGCAGGACCTGAACACTCTCAAGGAGAGCTACTTGAAGACATTCCTGAATATAACATGTCTGCATTTCTGTATTAAGTCAACCCCCCATCTTTCTGCTCTCCGTTAATATTGGCCTTAATAGATACTGCTAACTTCTCTCTGTTCCTACTTTATGCTGGCCAGACTTTTTACCACTGTGACAGAGCATTTGACCCCAACGGCTTTTGAGAGGAGTTGTTTGTTTTAGGTCATAGTTCATAGGTTTCAGGCCGGCTGTAGCAGGACGGACACAGTGGGGCAGAGCAGCCCACATCACAGCAGCCAGGAAGCAGAGAAGCTGAGAATAAAGGAAGGATGGAGGTGAGGTAAGCCTTTGAGGGCTCATTCTCAGTGACATAGTTCCTTTCCCATCCCTCAATGATCGTCTCAGATTTTGATTCCACCAAGGTAGTAATCTACCCATTGGATCAAAGAACACAGGATCCAGTCACTTCCGAGAGTCCATCATCTGGCAGCCAGGCTTGTCACATGTACCTGGGAAGGATGTTTTTATTTATTCAAGCTGTAGCACTTGCACAATGAGTGGATTGAGAAACACTTGCAAAAGTGAGGAAGGCCAGTCAGCTGGTGCCTCGGTCTTTAAGAAAAACCTTTTGTGAAGACAAGGGACGTACTAGGGTGGGGGAGCCTAGAGAGACCTACCTAGGTCATAGTAGTGACATTTCCTGTTTGAGTGACTTTGAGCAAATGACCCAGCCACTCCCTAGCCTCTACCTTTAGTAGAACACGGACACCAAACTAGATGCTTAGGTTGGAACCCTTCTAGGGTGAAGTATTCACTGATCTTCCAACAACCTCTTGGCTGTCGGCTATTAAAGGTCACAAGTAAATTCAGCTCAGTCCGCTCAGCCCTAGGATCTGAGACACTGCAGTGGTATTGAAACTGCCGGTCTTTGGCAACCCTTCGTGACTTGTCCTATCTGTAGGACACACTGAGATCTGAAACTGAGAGAATGCTTGCCTGGGTGGGGGCACCGTTCTGAGCCCTTTCCGTGAGTATCACATGTGGCATGCACACCATACTCCTGACCTTTTAAGACTATACAGCTCCTAGAGGTTTAGTGTGTTTTCAGAGCTGTACAATCCTCCTGACTCAAGGAAATATTATCACTCTCATTTTATCAGGGAAGACTCGGAGACTTTGAGGGGACAAGGAATTAGCAAAAGATGAGGCAGCAGTGGTTCCTGCAGAAGGTAAGAGGCTGGAAAAAGACTCCGGAGCCTCTGCATGGTTTCACCTGTTTTTCTAGAGCCTTTGGACTTTACCTTACACGTCTTCAGAGCCAGGAGGAGGGGGAAGTCTTTGTCCAGTGTCAGGCCATGTCTGATGCTAAGCTCATAGTCCAACTGGACTTTGTCCTGGCAGGTTTCCAACATTCTCCCCAGAGCTTCTTGGGTATAGTCCAGCAGATCAACCTTGTGTTGCTTGGTGGAGGGACATGGCTGAGCCGAGTGAGTGCCTGTTGATCAGTGCTGAGGAGGTTGTACTCATATTTATCTCCTCGGCTCCCCTTTTCATCCTTAGATCATGTTCTTATTCTTAAGACTTCTTTTCTCTGCCCAAATCCAGTAAAGTTAGCAAAGAATATTGTCGTTTAAAGTGAAATGAACCAATTACACTGCACTGGGTTGTCTACTGAGAAAAATTCTGTGACTTGAACTAAATGTTTTCAAATGTGGCTTTAAAAACAACAACAAAACCCCCAAACCTCCAAATATTTGACATTGCTTCTCCTTGTGTGGAAAACTGTCTGTTCTGCTATTAAGAAAAATCCCAATGGCCAGCTAACTGGAGTCCCAGATCCTGTTCTGTTGGCATAGGAGAGTAACCAGTGTGGTATAGACAGAGGGGGTTCATTTGATCTTTCTACAGAAGCCCTGCCATGTGTTCAGCCCCTACCAATTAGCAGACACCATCAGGCCAGGCATTGGCCTTTAATCCAGACACTCAGGAGGCAAACAGAGTTTGAAGCCAGCCTGGTCTATATAGTAAGTTCCAGGCCAGCCTGCCAGGGCTACCTCAAAAATAGATAGATGATAGATAGATAGATAGATAGATAGATAGATAGATAGATAGATAGGCAAGCAAATAAGTGCAGTCCTTGGCTCGAGGCATAAAGCAGGACGAGAGGCAGAGAGGCTGGAGCTGGGACCTGGAGTTGCCAGGAGGGATAGGACACTTGGTAGAGATCCCGGTGATTGAGCATGAGTTATGGAAAGATGCATGTCGAACAAAAGGAATGAGATATTTAAAGACTCATTTGCAGTCACAGACTTCAAGGCCAGCCAAGTGGCTTGACACAGAAACCACACTGTGGCCAAGTGTGTTACATTAAGTATAGGCGAGCCTTAAAGTAGGGGTGATTCGTCACCATGGAAGGGCCTGATGGAATCTGGAGAGGCTTGTGGGGGAGTTCAGAGGGTGTGACAGTGTGCTCTATAAGCACCGTGATACCTGTGGCCAGTCCCCACTCGAGCAATACATGAGCTGGTTTTGTTTGGGATGCAGAGCAACACTTTCTGTTTCAGTAAACAAAAGTTTATTTGAATTTTCTTTAAGAAAAATATATAATTGACACATCAGACTCATTTTTATAATTTAGGGGAAAGATAAAGGCTTCTTTTTAGTATTAATTATAGAATACTTTAACCCAAATACAGGGAACATGATACTAATCAATATATAAGATCCAGGCATGGTGGCTGGATGATCATTATGCCAGAATGTGGGAGGCAGAGGCAGGAGAATAATGAGCTCAGGGGTAGCTTGGGCTACATAGTGAGCCCCTGTCACCTGTGTTTTGATTTGGAAAATTGTGATGGGGGGGCATGTGAAAGCAAGATTAGTAGGTCTCTTCCAGGTAGGAGTGTCAGGTAAAGACTAGTTCACATGAGCTTAGAAGAGACTTTGAAAACAGCAAACGTATTAACACTTGCTAAATTAGACAGAGGGCCGACAGATGTTCCTTAAATCAGCATTTTAACACATGTGAGCTTAAAAATGTCTATGACAAGAGGCTGGAGAGGGGGAAGGGCAGAACATTTTTGTTGGAGAAATGATGAAACTTAAGGGAGAAAGCATTTAAAGTGAGGGCTGACCTCAGGCTCAGCCAGGATCCTCAGACATGCTGACTGACTGTCTCTCTTATTAGCATGGTACTGTTACTTCATCTTCACCATCTTGGAGACTCACAGGCAGGCTCAGAGTCCCCTACTGGGAGCAAAATGGCAATCTCAGACTCTTACGTTCCCACTTTGAGAGATCCCTTCCTTGCATGTCACTCACAAACAAATCCCGGCATTTGCTTGCATTGCACTAGGGAAGCATAGTCAGAGTCCAGGCTTAGGTTGGGGAGTGAAGTTTTAGCTACAGTTCTTTAGGAGATGAGTCAGTGAGCTCTGTGAGTTAGTGAGCTCTGTGCCTTGGGGCCTGGATTTCTCCATATCCTCAAGCTAGGTAGGTGAGAGGTGGTGTCGATTAGAGTGGCCAGTCAAGGGTCAGTGTCCACTGAGTCCCACGGGAGGGCTGTCAGCAGAGCACTGAGGGACTCAAAGGGTAGTCTCTACTCGGACTTACTCATTAACCTCGTTTGTGGCTTTTCCTCTATTTGGCTTCTCCTCAGCGTGAAGACATTATTGAGGTGTGCCAAAGCAGTGTCCTTGCTCCCCAGGAGCCCCCTGCAGTGAAATATGTCTACACAGGTCACATCTTAGAACATATGCTTCCTGTACATGCAGAATTCAGCCACATAGATTCTCGAAACTGGGGCAACGTCTAGGTTTACCAGAAGCACTTAACTCAGTCTCTGCTCAGTCTGTGTCCAGGTGAGACGCTGCTCAGGAGGTCAAAGGTCAGGGGCTGGACAAGTGAGGTGGAGTCCTTTGCATACATGAAGTCACTCCTCCACCGTGGGGACAGATAAAGCTTGTAGAGGCACATGATCTCAAGCCAACTAGACCAAAGGCCACAGACCTACAGAAGGACAGTTAAGGAGTCCTAAAGGCTCCCAGGAACTGTCCAGCCAGGGTTTAGCCTGATGTAGTTAGTGCTTACCATTCTGTGTGAGATTCAGTAATTCGGTGAAGAATGTGTTGTCTGTAATGTGCACTGTTGCCAGGTGTGTGACTTGGAGTAAGTTTGCAACCACTCTGTGCTAGGGATTTCGACTGAACAAGGATGATAATTAAAGTTCTCAAATCACAGACTTGTGAGGGATTCCTGCAGAAATCAGGGTTAGGACATAGAGAACCATTTAGAATAGGGGTTCACTGAGACCAAGTGTTCCCTGGGCAGCAGCCTGTAACATGCCCTTGTTGCAGGTGGATAAAGCTTAATTATCTTGCCAGGTTTTCACTGCTGGGAAGACAGGTTGATCCATGGCAGTTCACATCCGTCACCTCTATCTTCCATGTATACCAATTTTCATTCATTTGTACACATGAACACACATATAAACACCACCAGGATGCAGCTGCTCCAAAGTCTTTTAGGACTCTGGAGAGATATGCTAGGGTCTGGAAATCTTTTGGGACTGTATGAGACATGGGCTGAGAGAGAGCAGAGATCACAGAAAGCTGTACACCATGCACCCCATGGTGGAGACACAACCCTGCAGAGAGGGACAGAGGTCCAGTTCTCACATATGTTCAGGCTCCAGCTCAGAGATGTTTCTTCCCTGTAGGAGGACTGAGTTGGCTCCTATTATGACATGGCATAAACTGAGGTACTCCTTCCCTACTCTACAGCACTCAGTAGAACATGAAAGTTGCCATTTTGTGTCTTGAAGGTGTCTGAGGTCTCCCCATGTGTTGGTTAGTTTTATATCAACTTGACACAAGTGAGAGTCGTTTGGGAAGAAGGGACTTTAGTTGAGAAAATGCTCCCTCCAGATGGATATGTGAACAAACCTGTGATGATTGTTCTCAATTGGTGATTGATGTGGGCGGGCTCAGCTTACTGTAGGCAGTGCCGTGTAGAGGGTCAAACGTTCCTGTGCACACAGAGAAGCACTGGAGAAGTCAGAGAAAGATAACATGCATCTCCAAAAGAAGATGTTCTCTGTTCTCCCGGAGTGCTGGGGAAGAAGGAGGTTTACAACCTGGTGATCCTCTGCTCTCTGTAGAGCCGGGCTTCCTGTACATCCCCCAGAATTTATGTTTTATTTATCCCAAAACCTTTCCACCTAAATCCTGAGCATTGCTTCTAGGTCATAAAATGCATCCTTACAAGAGATGTCACTTGTGCTTTACAGCAGCCTAGGTGACTTCCTGACAGACACAGGCATTATGTTCACCTCAGTCATCATTCTCCCTAGACTCTAAATCTTGGGCACTATCTCTGAGTCGACAGTACCCATCTTTGTGAAAGAAGCCAGATTTACTTTTTGTAAAGAATCACAGTGTAAACATGTCTTGCTCTCTGTTATGCTAACAGGACTGAATTAATTGTTATCAGAAAACTTCCTCCCCCCAAAATTGTGCTGTGCTTAAATATGGCTAAAAGTAATTATCTTCTGTCAGACTCCTGAAGATCAAACCAGTGATAGCTAACTAAATCAAGCTGAACTGAGTTGTATTCTTACCTCACCAGGACTGTTTCCCTGCTGGCCAGGAAGCCCACAGGAGCCCATATCACTCCTGGGGTGGTGGTTCTGGGTACTCTAAGAAAGGAAGCTGAGCAAGCTATGGACATCAAATCAGTAAGCAGCACCCTCCATGGCCTCTGCATCAGCTCCTGCCTGTAAGCTCCTGCTCCGAGTTCTTGTCTTGATTTCCTTTGATGATGGACTGTGATACAGAAGCATGAAGTATAAGCAAAATAAACTCTCTCTTCCCCAAGCTGCTTTTGGTCATGGTATTTTGTCACAGCAATAAAACCCTAACTGAGATACCCTACCAGGGGTCAACTGAGCTGCAGATACTCCTGAAGACGTCAGCTTGGCCGTCTCTTACCCAGTTCAGTCCTGAAGTCATGTGCCTGGAGATAGTGGCAATTGTACTGGTGGAGGACCCAGGCCAAACAGGGATCTCATCCCAGATACCAATCACAAGAATCGCCTGTTGCCTGTAATCTGATCAACCTGCTATAAATTGAGGTTACTTTAAAATCCTCATTAGGTTTCATCAATTCCTCCAGGGAACTCAGGGAAATACCTGTACCTATCACTTCATCATGACATGCCCAAGGAAGGTGAGTGGGATGCAGTACAGGATTCGCACACCCTCTCTGAGGTGTACCAGTCTCTAGAAGGTGCTACAGATCCATCTTTCCCTGAGAGCCCTAGCCTTTTGGATTTCTGTAGAAGCTTTATTGTGTAGCATGGTTGATTCTATTCTTAGCTACTGATGATCAGTTCAGACTCCAGTTTGTCTCCCCTCCCAGGAGGCTGCACAGTGCAGCTGGAAGCCCCAGCCTCTAATCTTGTCTTCGTTTTCCAGTAAACACTCCCATCTTGGAGCCACCAGGGCCTTGGATCCTGGCCACATAAGGGCATTCCTAGCACGTTGAACATTATAAAAGGCTTAGGAAAGTTTTTGTTTTTCACCTAGAAATGGGTTATAATGAATATTTTCATATTTTACAACTTTATGCAGCTCTTAGATTGCTCTCTTTTTTTAGTGTCTATTACCTGTTTATCTTACTTCTGTTCCCTATGACACCCTCCTAGCCTTCCCATCCCACAAGTGAGGCAACTCTCATATTGTTGTACAGAGACAAGTTAAGGGAGGAAGGATCTGTTTAAATTGTATTCTCAGAGGTGTTAGGCCACCAGGATGGAGCAGAACAGCCCACGTTATGTAGACAGTGAAGAAAGGAGAAGGGCAGCACTGTGCTGGCTTCCTTGTGCCCCCTTTTATTTTGTCTGGGTGCCCATCTATGGGATGGTGTTACCCACACTTAGGTGGGTTCAGTTAACCCCCTCTGAAGAAGACCCCCTCTCTCATACAGCTGTGCTTTGATGATTTCTCCTAGGTAAATCTAAATCCAGGCAAGTTGACAATGGAGAATAATCATTACACCTGTGAAATGCATTTAAGAAGGCCCACATGAGGGGGATGAGAGATAGATAGATAGATAGATAGATAGATAGATAGATAGATAGATATAGAGATGGAGATGGAGATGAGAGAGAAACATACATACACACACAGAGACAAAGACAGAGTGAGGCTGCCCTAAGGCTCCACACTACAAACAAGAGGCTTAATTCTTTTTGCTACTTATATTATCAGTGTTCTGGATTCTGTTTCTTTTTTTAAAAAAATTATATTTATTTATTTTTATTTTCTGTATATGAGCATTTAGCTTGCCTGTATGTCTATAAACCATGTGTGTGCCTGATGTTTACTAAGTCCAGAAGAAGATGCTGAATCCCCTGGTACTGGAGTTACAGATGGTTGTGAGCCACCATGTGGATGCTGTGAATCAATTTAAGGTCCTCAGCAAGAGTAACTGCTCTACTTAACTGCTGAGTGATCTCTCCAGCCCCAAGGATTCTGGGTCTTTAGAGGTTCATAATAGATTAACAAAGTGTTCTGGGTTCACAGGTTTTCGCAATGTGTATTTTAAGTGAATTTGGGGTGAAAGGCTACTTATTGTGTGATGTTCCTCTGACCACACAGCCAGCAGCATGGCCATGGGTAGGTTTGGCTGTGGTTGGTTAAATACCCAGTGGCTGGGAGTCAGGAGATCCACAGGGCCTGGGCAGAAGTTGGTTTTCTTCCTTTTAAAACAAAGATGTGTGTCTTTGTGGCTCCTTTACATATGGAAGGTACAAGTTGTTGACTCAGGTGGTCCCAGAAGGAGGATGTCACATTCTTGGAATATCAGCTGATACCCAGAAGTGACATACTGTTCATCCTCAGTGGCACCATTGATGGTCCACATGTGATTTACTCATCCACTGCTAAGAAATGGTAGGCCTTGGTGGCTGCTGATCTAGATTGTAAGAAGGTTGCTCATAGCTTTGGGTTCTTCTGGGAGCAGAGACCCAACCATCTTCTCCTCTCTGGATTCAGTGTGATCGACAATGGCCATGGAGGGGTATTGGTCAGGTGTGAAGGGCAGGAGGATACGGGCTTTCCTGGTGAAGACTCAGAAAATGGAGGACCACTGATTTTTTGCCCAAGAGGCAAGCCCTCCTTGGGGGTGACCTCTTTGCCTGATGTGTCCCAATTAATAGCATGGACATCTGCAGCACAGGCCTAGAGTGCTTGTAGGTCAGATAGGTTATTTCTTACCGTCCAGTCTTGTTCTCAGGGACCGTCAGGCAAGCACAAGGTTAGACAAGACCCGGATGTAGAGGACAGTATGCGATTCTCTTGGGTGCTGTGGTATTTAGGCTGATCTGACCCACCTCACTGAGGAACCGCTGACAAGGCCATGTTATATAAGAACACTTTGCAAACCACAATGTTCCCCCCCCCCAAAAAAAAGCAAGGCCTAGTTTGGTTAAAACAATGACAACAGCAACAACAATGACAACAAACCCAACCCATTAGAGCAGTCAGTACTCCAGCAAGCAATGCAATGGGGCTCCATATTCTTTGCTGTCTCCATGTGAATCATTCTTTTCTCACTAGTCAGGTGCTGGGACATAACTAGGAAGCTCTGCACAGGGATGTATCTGGGGTAGGAGCAAGCAGGAGTCGGGGCAGGGCAGCCAGTGAAGCTGCTGGAACTGAAAAGTCCAGCATCTCCACCATAGCGTCTGCTTCCTTGGAACTCAATGCAGGGATTGCGGTTTCTTCCAGATGGTGGCTGCTGCTGCTGCTGCTAGCGCAATTCACTGGAGAGGAAGCAAAGGTGTGGATGTGGGAAGACTGGGGCACTAAAACTGGTCCGATTTTGAGTGATGGCTCAGCGGTTAATAGCACTGGCTGCTTTCCCAGAGAACCCAGATTCAATTTCCAGCACTCACATGGCGGTTCATGACCAGATGTTGCTTCAGTTTTAAGTGATCCGATGCCCTCTTCTGGCCTCTGCGGGCACCAGATATGCATGTGATGCACAGACATACGTGCAGGTGAAACATCCATACACCTAAAATAAAAAATAAATCTGAGAGAGAAAAAGAGGGGGGAGGGAGTTCAACTCTCCACAGTACAGTGATGGTAAGGGACATTCTTAGTGGCAAAATGTTAATTGACCCCCCAGCCTCCGTCTTTCCTCATTCTGCCTGTTTAATCGGACTTTTCTGAGCCTCTACCAGGTCCAGACACTGTGATAGCTGGTGCCTGGAAAATGTTCTTTATAAAAGTGTTCCCAGTAGCTATGGCTCATGTAATGGGGAATTCCAGGAAAAGTTCTGGGTTTCAGCCTGTGTAGAAAGAACATTGATCTTGCAGACTTTGTCTTTCTTCCTTTGGCTTTACTTCTAGCTACCTTCCACTTCCTGGTGGCATCACAGTGACCACAAGCTCCAGGCTCATGGCCTACCAAAGTTCAGAAATTCTCACTCAAGGTTTCAAGTAGCAATACGTCTCATTGGGTTAGCTCAGTCACGTGCTCATCCCTGCACCAAGCATATTAAGCTATTAGAAGTTGGATTTGCCAGGTCGAGTCATATCTTGACTCCTGTGCGGGAGGACAGGATCAGCTCCAAGTCACATGGACTGGATGGAGGGGTTCCCTCTCTAGAACTCAGAGGCTTTTGCTATGAGCAGGCTGAATGACTATGGATGCCAGCAGGCCCCTCAAGGGTGTTGATAGATAGTGAAATAGCAAAAGGAATGATTTTCAACCTCTAGGCAGATCTCTAGGGAAAAATGTGTCAAAGCACTTTTTTAAAAAAAATGTACTTTCAAATTATGATCACCAAGGTCCTCACAATTCCACTAGAAAAATTAATCCAGTAAGCTAACAGTCCCCCACAGTTTTTCACACTGGGACAGAGCTGGGGTTCAACGAAACTCTGCCTAGAGGTTTTGGTCTCTGGAGACACTAAGTAAATAGTAAGCAAGTCAGCAGGCAGTTCCAGGGCGGTGCCAGCAGGTGTCGACAAAGAGCTGAGCTGAGATTCCGTAGAGCTCGCATGCCCAGCGGACTTGCTGCAGAGGTTCCCTAGAGCAGCAGCAAACAAATATTTACTTAGATAAGAAGGATGAGGTCTGAAGAACGTTCAGTGCAGAAGGAACAGCTTTGCCCGAGGGCAATGCGATTTCGGAAACAAACAACACCATCTACACTGAAGGCAGGGAAATGTTCTCATCCTCTTCTGCCCGGAGGCATCTCCAGTGACACCTGTTTCTTCTCCTTGTAGGGTATTTTCTGACTGTGAATGCCTATTCTCTCTTAATAGCTATTTTTCCTGTTATTTTTTCCCTTCAATTTTTTATCTCCTTTCGTTACTTTTTGAGTCCCAAAGAGCAACTGAAGGGCTCTTCTAGTGCCATCCCATACAGCTTCTGCCAGCCCAGAGTTGTCGATACAAAATATCTGTCCCTCTCAGATCTACTCTGTGGCAATGGCCTCTGTAACAACAGAATGCCCTCCCCAACAGCCATCATCCTTCACGCTTCCTCCCGTCCTTCCCTGCCTAGCCATCACGAAGCCGTCGTGTTTTCCTCAAGATGGCCAGCAGATGGCAGGTTCTTCCCAGTAATGCAGGAAGGTTCCGTAGACTGCAGTGATCTACACAGAATCCAGTACAGAAAACCCAGACCCCTGAGTTAGAGGGCCCGGAAGAGGCTACTGCCACCGAACCACAGACTTTCACTCACCCCCCCCCCCAGCCCTCACCGTTTCCAGCAGTCTCTATTTCTTGGCTTATTCTCAAAGTCAGTAGCAGCTAAATCACTCAGGGAGAATTTATTAAAGCAGGGTGTCGTCACTCTGC